AGAAGGCAAATAGATCAATACTGTTCACCTTGCACAAAACTTAACTTTCAATAGAATAAGTATCTCAACCTAAGACTAGTTGGATTGAGTATGATAAAAATAGAAAGTGGAGGAGAGTCCTGACCACATTAAAATGGGAACAGACTTTGTGAACAGGAAACTTAACTACCATGAATACATGGGGCTTCATTAAACTGAAAAGGCTTCTGTTTTTCAACAGATACCATCCTTAACACAGAGAAGTGGGCTACACAATGGGAAAATATGTTTACCAAATACATATCTGATAAGGGGTCAATATCAATACGTAAAGAACTAAAAAAAAACTAGATATCAAGACATCAAATAATCCAAGTAAAATGTGGTGTGGAACTAAACGGTATATTCTCAAAAGAAGAAATACACATGAATGAGACACATTTAAAAATGGTTCAAAAAAAATAAAAAAAAAGGTTCAGCGTCCTTAGTCATCAGGGAAATCCAAATAAAAATGATACTTAAATTTCTTCTGGCACCCATTAGAAAGGCCAATAATCGATAAAACAAATGACAGCTCATGCTCCCAAGAATTTAGAAAAAGAGGAATGCCCATCCATGGCTGTTGGGACTACAAGTATTTACTGCTACTATGGAAATCAATGTCTTTATTAGCACCATAGAAACAGACTAGAACATGCATCATAGGTATTTTTTACTTTATTACTGTGTCCTCTAAGAGTGAACTACCACAAAATTACTCCTGTTACTAATTGCCCTTTGAGAGTCATACCAACTTCTGTTCTTTGCGTGATGTAATTCAATGTGTGTGGGCAAAATGCATTGGGAATAAAATTCCCGAAAGTGGCCGGGCGGTGGTGGCACATGCCTTTAATCCCAGCACTCGGGAGGCAGAGCCAGGCAGATCTCTGTGAGTTCAAGGCCAGCCTGGGCTACCAAGTGAGTTCCAGGAAAGGCGCAAAGCTACACAGAGAAACCCTGTCTCAAAAAACCAAAAAAAAAAAAATTCCCTAAAGTGGAAGCACTAATGCTTTTTGAAAATTAAACTACCCCTTCTCAAATGGAATAGTTGTGGGCATCTGAAATTATAACTGAATGACCATTAAATCAAAATTAATACAAAAGCTACTTTATGTACAAATATCCATCTACATTAGGACCCACTTTCACACACACACAAACACACACACACAAACACACACACACACACACACACACACACACACACACACACACACACACACACACAAACTCACTGATTCACTCACATATGAACAACATTCAAAGCAGATTTGGGTACAAATCATAGAGGACCAGAGCTTATATTCAACATTTTATGCATGCAAACATTTTTCTTTACATTTTGAATGGCACAAAACACTTTGCTTTTTTAAAATCATTATAAAAAGATAATACGTTTCCAATAAACATAAAATAACCAGATGAAAATTAGTGCTTACCCACTGGAGGCAAACCAAATGTAGTGCTATTCCAAATCAAGCCTGCTCATAGTACACAGAGATAAGTGCCATCAAATGAATACAACACTGTTAGTTTTAAATTGGGAGGATATGAATCTATAAAGAAAAGTCAAATTTCTATAGAAATATTTAGAAATTGACTTTAAACAATCCAGAAAGTCAGTTATCCAATACAAAACAGTGGCACACAGACATGTGCATCTGAAAGAATTAAGGGTAGGGAAGTCAGTACCTTTGCCTTCTGTTGTATGACAAGTGGCATCACCCTGTGATAAAAAATTTTCTTCCACCATTCTTCCTGTTTCTGTCATTTAAAGTTTTTTGTCAAAAATTTTCTAATGTCCATCTCACCCTAACTTTACATAAAATGATTTATGTTCAAAATAGAAAATCTACCTTTTCTAAAAAACACAAATCATGCTTTCAGTGTTAAATGTGAATATACTGTTTCACAGGGACTTGAAAGTGACATGGTCATTGTCATATTACAGCACATCATCAGTGACTGTACCTTAACATATATCCTGCCAACCAACAGCCGGGGATCCTGCTGGTAACCTGAGTGATTCAATCAACTTCCTCTCCATTCCCTCATTGATATAAACTCAATAGATCCTGACAAAGATGTCCTTGTGACAGCTATGGGTAGATTCACCATGAAAAGTTAAGTCAGAATAGAATGCTTTAAAAAAGCACAAAGAAAACATTCTTTAAAACTCTCTAGGCAGTAAGAAAAATGTTTCCTGATAGAATTAAAATTGTAATTGAGATCCATGTATCTATTTGCTTGAAACATTTTAGATAGAAGTATTAAAATAGCTTTCTTTACTATGAAACAAAAGAGGAGAACTTTTCAAAAAATTCCTCAGAAAACAGAGGGAAGAATATTATTAAATGTTTTGTGTTCCTGAAGCAATAGGCAATTTAAAGGAGCCATGGTTGACAGAGGTTTAAAATTCAAATGGACATAGGACATTATGGTGGGGAATAATGTTGGTCACATGATATGCAGTCAGGAAGCTGAAAATTAATGCTGGTGTTCAGCCAACATTCTTCTGTTTATGCTTTAGGGTCTCAAGCCTGCTGGGAGCCATACCTTACCAAGACTTTCTCTGAGACCCCAAAGGGAAGACTAAGAGAACACTAATTCTGTGTCTTTGCCCAGGAGGAGACAAAGCAAAGTCAGTCTGGAGCTAAAGCCAGTGCATCCAAGGAGTCAAAGTCCAGCTTCTGGAGAGTCAATACCTCTCTGTGTAGAGGAAAATGGTTGTCAGTCCTAAGGCCACTGTGTGTTCAGTCTGTAATTATCATTAGACATCATGTGTTCCCCTTGTGCAGCATTGTTCAGTTGCTCCCATTGACATCATTCCATTGTGTGGCAGTTTCTGCTGATTCTGTCCCATTTGAAAAGAGCCTATGAGATGCTGTCCTTTGTAATAATCTTGCTTGGCATAAAGAATAGATTATGCAAGACCTCCTGAGGCAACAGGTTCTATTATCTTTATCTCTGATTCTCTGAACCTTTGTTCTCAGGATGCTGTCATTGAAGAATGACTTTGTCATCCAGGACCAATGCTAGCCCCATATTTGGATGTGTCCTCTTTCCCAGTCAATCCTTGATTGCAATGCTCTTCCCTTCAAGAACTAGAATGTCAGTTCTACATACCTGTCACACATTCCCCATATGACTTGAATAATTAAATATCAAGACAAAATAATGATGTACACATTCAATCCCTGTGCCTCAAAACAAGATGGGACTTTATCTCTCATTCTATGGGGAAAATTCAAATATGCTTTCTGACCTGCAGGAATTTATAACTTGAATATTATGTGAATCCTGTTCTGATGCATGCACTCAGGGAGTAGCATCCTGGATGGCTGCCCAAGGCCAAGAAATCACAAATTCTCTGCATGGTCAGGAAGCCAGGGAGAAATGGCCTCTAGTGTGAGGAATGTCTGATTCCTATTCATTTCACCTGTAATTCATGTTCATAATACACTGAGAAAAAAATCTCAAACATTCAAGTCTGAGCAGAAGATATAAAAATAATACATTATTCAAACAGTTTATGAAAAGAGATCAAAATTATACTGATGGAGAAAGAACATGTCAAATCCTCAGGAGATTCCATCCTCACCCATTGAAAAAGCAAACATTTCAAAAATAATTTCAATAATGTAGGTGAGGATGCAGTGGGCATGAATCCCTTCTTTTCGTGGTGGTCATGGAGTCTATCTACCATGGCCACTGTGGAAATCAGTGTAAGGTTGGATCAAAAATGAGAATTCAAACTAAAGAGATCTCTCTTAACCACTTGTGGGAATGCAGCCAACACGTGTCACTTGACATACTAAGACATATCCATATAAATTGACAAGATAATTTAGGGCAGTCAAGATATGGAAACTGTATAAATAACATCATTAGAGAAATGAAAAATAGATAAGATATATTTTTTCCGTAAATCAATGTGGTGGTCACTGATTTGAAAGACTGAATACATTTTCTCTGTCACCCTTACTAACACATGAAAGAAACACATCCACACTTGTTCAAAGAATCTCTATCAGGCAATGGATTTCCTAAATTCCAACCCAACAAATGTTCTATTTGTAGATAAAATCTTAAAAGAAGAGATGGCATGTTGAAATTAGATGTGATACCCAGCAACAGGAGTGAGTTTGGAGGAAACCACAGTGCTGAGTGGAGACATGTTTCACTACAAGACACTAAATACAGGAACTGAAGAGCAACCAGGAGATCACCTTTTAGAACTTGGTTAGATTGTGAATGTCTGCATTGGTAAGAATATTTGAATGACTAAGTGGGTGTTGAATCACAAAAACTCATTAATTTTCTGGTCAATACCAGACAATCTGGCCTGATGACAGGTTCTCCAGAGGGCAGGAAACAGGTATTTTCAGGAGATTCTGCATGTGTGACTAGCATACATTTGCACACAAACTACAGCATGAACAACATTCAAGGCTGAATGTTGTATGTGGTACTGCCCTTCCCTATTACTGACAAAAAAGTACATGTCCCATGATTCAGCTCAAGCTCTGAATGACACAGGCACTTGATGACCCTCTCACCTCTCACTAATGCAGAAAAACTGAGGAAACCCACTGGAATAATCTCCAGTGGTGTTCATGCACATGGGTGTTGAAACAGGACGGGGGCCCCAGCTGTTCATAAGGAGAGTGTCCCTGGGGAATTGACAGTCTGTGCATAAATGACATCATGGCACCCATGGCTGAAGTCTGTGATTCTCACAACATGTTTTCCTACCAGTGTTGATGAAAGGTGTCAGACCTCAGGTGCAGATCCTTAGGCCAGAAATTTCCAAATGCATCCAGGAATAATGACACAGATGGGCATATGGGAACCGCGATCTACACACATGATCCCCATGTGGCTAGAGGAAGAAAACAGGCACTTAGACTTAAAGGCATGTGTCATGTTGGTCTGCAGGAGAAAAGGGTTTCACTTCTGCTCAGTCTTAGATCCTGGGAGTCATGGGGAAGCTGTGTGCTCTCCTGATATCCCTCTTGCTCCTGAAGTTTTCTCTTATCTTGTACAGTTGGGCAGAAACGAGCTGCTTTTGGAGACTAAAGCATGAAGAAGAGGATCATGGAGGTTTGAGGAATGACTGTGAGTTTTTACTTTACCTGTCTCCAGAACCGCCTGAGGAAGATTTGTATAATAATATGATGGATTTTATGTAAGTCATTCACTTCTTCAATTCCAGCATCAATGTCATAAGTTACAAGTTTGTGTAAGAAAACTCGGGGAGTTCTGTTCTGTGGTTCCCTCTGTCATGCTTGAACCACAGAAAATTTTCTCCTTTATTGATCACTATTTTGGTATTTTCTCATGCATTTTATTGTACTGTGGTTTTCTTAGATTAGATTCCAATTCACTAATCTGGAAGGTCAGAGAAACGGGTTTCTCTTTCTTGTCTCCTCATGGTTCTCCTCATTGTGAAAGCTGTTATGGCCCAGGGTCTCAGAATAGGACATGAAAACACAAATGCAAACCACTGGCATGAGTTCCGTGTTAGAAGCTGTGTTACAGTGTCTCTTCAAGTGTGTGCCAAGGATTCCTCCATCAGTATTTGTAACCAAACCCTTCATAAAGAGGTTTCTTAATTTTCGTCTCTAGCCAGAGTGCAGAAGTTCACATATAGAAATAGAGGTGTGTGACTAGTATATAAGATGGCAGGTCAAGTATTTCATAGATAAGTGTGAGTAGACATAGACATCACTTTAAAAATCATCTCTATACCCATCCCTGATGTTCTCCAGCTCAAAATGATGATGGATAAAATAAAACCATGAGCTGTCAGATTCTATGTCAACCCAGTTTTATTTTGCTTCACTTGTGCCTAATCACAGATTTGGGGCATGATTAATATCAGATAGGTGATTGAAATTCCTTTGAATTAATTAGTAAATGCAAGAGAATTATTGGAGAACTAAAATATTCTTATTGGAAAAGGAGATGAAATTTGTCAATGAGGTTTTCAGATCCTATGTGTTAGATGTTGACACTGGTAGATGCAGAGCAGAGATAACGGGGACATAGTATTGAAATTGTTCAACTTTGCTGTTGTATAATGTGCCTGGGCCTTTTGTATACATGTACTGAGGTTGTTTGTGCTTTCTTGTGGGAATTTTCAAGAATGGATTGCAACTGTTAGCCCTACTAAGTCCTGGGCACACTTTCATTCTGGTGGTTGCTTCCCATTACTGTTTTTCAGTTTCAGGTCAACAGGGTTGGCATTTCTGTCATCTCCTCTTTGATATTCTACCTCATAATGAAAATTCTCATTAATGACACTATAAGAAAGTTATTCACATGGCTGACCCTTATTGCAAAATGTATTGAACCAAATTAAAACACACATCACATAGCTTTTAGGGTCTTTCACATAATTTTTTACATATAAATAGCATATAACAATAAACATAGAAAACTTTTCCATCTCTACCAATGGAAACCAGACATTTGATGAACACTTAATTATCATAAGTACTTATTGGATTCAGCATAACTTAAGATGAGGTACAAACACTCATATCAAGGAGGACAAGGCAAACTAGTAAAAGGAAAATGGTCCCAAGAAGGCAATAGAGTCAGAAATATCCTGACTCCCACTGTTCAATGTCCCACAAAAACTGAAAGCTAAACAATCATAACATATGCAGAGGACCTAGCACAGAGCCTGCAGACTCTGATTGTCACATCAGTCTCTGTGAGCCTGTAGGAGCCCTTCTTTGTTGATTCTATGAACTGTGTTCTCCTGGGGTCCTTGTCCACTCTGGGCCTCCATCCTTCCTCTCCTTCTTTTGCAGGGTTCCCTAACTCTGCCTGTTTTTCAGGTGTGGGTCTCTGCAGCTTATCCCATTAGGTGCTCAAGGTAGTCTTTATGATGATGATCAGACTACACTGTTTTATGGATATAGTAGAGTAACATTAGAAATCATTTCATTTACTTCTTTCTGTCTTTCCTTCCTTCCCTCCTTTCTTTCTTTTTCTTCTTTTGTTCTTCCTTTCCTTATTTTTCTTTCTTCCAGTCAGTCATGTTTGGTTTTACTCCACATTTCTGAGCCATTCAACTTTCACTTGTCTTTTCTGTACTCTCTCCATTCCTCCATGTGTTCCACACCTGACCCCTCCTGTTAACATCTCCTCCATCCATTCCCAGTCCAAATGCAAAAACCTATTCAATTTCACCCCTCTGTTGATTTCCTGTCATTGACTTCTCTTCTGTGTGCTTGCCTGTTTTCTAGAGCTGTCAGGTGTGCTGTGAAGTAGTTAGTGTGGTATCTAATTATTTTCATACACACCCTTAGTACTGGCATCACTTTCATGGTGTCTCATAAGTTTTAGTATATTGTGTATTCATTTTCCCTGGACTACAGAAAGTCTTTAATTTCTTTCTTTAGGTCTGTCTTGATCCAGGAGTCATTTAATATAGTGCTTCTTCCACATGAATTGTCGTCTTGTGGTTGTTGTTGAAATATACTTTTATTCCATGAGGGTCTGATAGGAGGGTGTTATTTCAATGTTCTTGTATTTTTTGAGACTAGCTTTGTGTCCAAGTATGTGATCACTTTTGGGTGAAATATTTTTAAGTTTCTCTTTCATAGCCTTCAGAGTACCTTCCCATGCCAAAGATACTAGAATGTTTGTGCAAATGTTGTATGGAGGCAGCAGCTTAACCTCTGCATAGTCAATGCATTGTATGGATTTCATCTTTAGCAATGAGGCCTTGCTATCCATTTGCAGGAGCATACTCTTATCTTCCAAAGAGTTTGTGGTGTTTGGATTTTCCATGGTACCTCATTGACCAACAACAAAATTGTATGTAACCCAGTTCTAGTGCTGGAAGCATTATTCGGTGAGTGGGGTTGCCAGTTAGAATACCATCTCCCTCATGATTAGGAGACACCATTAGGATCACTTTTACATATTTAAGAAAAATTTCACTGCACTGGATTTCCTTGTCACTCAAATGCCCTAAATGCTACATGTCTCTGCCCACACTCCCTCCCTCAACCCAATCTCCCCTACTGTTTTGCCTCCAGTTTGTAGTGGTATTTGCTTATTTTGGGCCACATAGCTTATTTTGGGCCATATAAAGTGCTTCTTGCAATTGTATGTGACCTCTTAAAAGGAGAGGAAAGAGGGATCATGAAGTTCTTCTCCCTTTTATCCATTTATTTTTATCTTTATCCTCCTTTTAAGAGGTCACATACAATGTTAAGAAGCTCTGGCTTCTTTGGGCTCCATAGCCCCAGGTTATGGGCAAAGCAAATAACCTTATATTTCCTCCTTTTTTGTCTCAATAAGAAGGTTCTAAATCTAATGTAAACTATATACAGTAAGAATGATTATCAAATGTTATCCAGGAAATACAAAGGGTACATCACATGAAGAAAAATGGAACTACAACTGACAAGAACAACATCAAACAAGAAACACACGCTACATGTGTGGATCATAGGTAAATGGCCAATTGTCAAGATGACTCCAATAGCTCTCCTAGCCCGAATATCCTAACTTTAGTATCTAAGGTTTTCTTAGCTAAGATATGAGGGGATTATAACTGTAACTATTTAATCTTCAATCCCATCAAAGATCTAAGAAGGAAGATATTGGGACCAGAGAAAACACAAATTGCAAGCAACCAATTACCAAAAAATTATGAGAATAGACAGAGACAGCTGGCAATATGGACAGTCACCTAAAAATTGGCAGCATCACTGTGGCATCCATTCTGATTACAGTCCTAGAATATCTGACATACAATTTCTAGAAGCAGAAATTTTGGAAAACCATCTTACCTTGTCTTGGCAAGGTTCAGTAGTCTCTTTTCCTTGTGTCCCATTCATCCAAAAAGGACAGTATGCATACTGTCAGCAGTTGAGGCAAGGGCAGTCTTTGCCCAGCAGGCCATTTTGTGCCAAGAAGAAGACAAACTTATAGAAGGAGTGTCTTAGAACCCCAACATTCTCTCAGGAGTAGATCAGTGATGTCAGGAGCTATTGTGTCTCTCATCAACAGAATTATTGTAGGTAGAGTTTTCCTGCCTGGCCCACAGTCAGGGCAAATCTCTCTCACCTGCCAGTCCCACAGCCGTCAGACCCGACCAAGTAAACACAGAGACTTGTATTGGTTTCAAACTGTATGGCCATGGCAGGCTTCTTGCTAACTGTTCTTTCAGCTTAAATTAATCCATTTTTATAAATCTATACCTTGCCACATGGCTCGTGGCTTACCGGCATTTTCACATGCTGTTTCTCATCTTGGCGGCTGGCAGTGTCTCTCTGACTCAGCCTTCCACTTCCCAGCTTTATTCTCCTCCTTGTCCCGCCTACACTTCCTGCCTAGCCAATGGCCAATCAGTGTTTTAATTATTGACTAATCAGCAACACATTTGACATACAGAACATCCCACAGCAAATTATAAATTATCAAAACTATAAATGCCATAGTCTCTAGGTCTATGAAACATTTGAAGACTACCTGTCCATCTGACCTGAGTTCATGTAAATCTGGAAATGGTATTATTTGAAATATATTTGATAAACCTTGCCAAGACAAGGTAAGATGGGGTTTTTTTGTTCTTTTATGGAGGTCTTCCAAAATATTTGTTTTATCATGTTTTTGGGAGTTTTTGATCAGAGCTGTTCTATCATCCAGTGCATTACTGTGCTTTATAATAGGTACTGGAATATTTTATTGTCCTGTGGAGGAATTTCCTCCACAATGACTGGAAATGACTGGACCATATTCAATCTGGGGGCCTGGAGGAGGCCCTCTGAGGTTTTTCCCAATGGTAAAGGGTTGTCATGTGTATCTCTTGTCGATCTGCATTCATTGGTCCAGTGTCAGCCTTTGCCACATCTTCTGCATAATCGAGGAGGTTGAGGTCTCCTGTTTGGGTTATTTCTATAAAAAGCATTGCTTCTAGGATCACCCTGAGAGTAATTTTTTCTCATGACCAGGTATACCACAGTTAAAATACTTTAATGCCTTCTTCCACATTTTCACCCTCCAATTCCCAGTCCACCCATAATTTGTATTCTATTTTACCATCCCCTTTGCAATCCACATGCTCTCCGTCATGTCTTCTATACTTCATCTCTCTGAGTCTACAGTCTGTAGCTGTGTTATCATGTATTTAGCAAATAATATCCACATATAAGTGAGTATGGTCCATATTTATGTTTTGGGTCTTCATTATCTTATCTAGAGTAATTTTTTTCTAGTTCATCCCATTTGTCTCCCAATTTCATGGTGTCATTTTTTAACTGCTGAGTAATACTTCATTGTAGAAATGTACCATACATTTTATTTATCAATTTTTCCATTTAGAGACATGTATGCTGTTTACATTTTCTGACAAATAACTCTACCGATTCCTGAGCATGGGAGATCTTTCCATCTTCTGATATTTCTTTCTCTTTCTTTCTTCAAATACTTGAAGATTTTGTCATGCAGGACTTTCATTTGCTTGGTTAGAGTTATACCCATATATTTTTTTTAAATTTGTAGCTATTGTCAATGGGGTTGTTTTTCTGATTGTTTTTTCAGTCCATTGATCATTCATATATAAGAGAACATGTGATGTTTTTGAGTTAATCTTGTATTTATGCACAACACTGAATGTGATTATCAGCTGTAGCAGTTCCCTGATAGGATTTTAGGGTCACTTGTGTATACTATAATGACATCTGCAAATATTAATAGTTTGACTTCTTCCTTTTTTATTTGTATACACTTGATCTCTTTTAATTTCTATTTACAGCATGAGCTTGGGAAGAGCAGGAGACATCTACATTGGGTTGAAGGCCAGGATCTATTGTGTGATTTTTTGATATACTCAATATGGTCAAGACACTTTTACACATGAATGAAAATTTTAATGAATAAAATCTGCTCAACTTTAATCCTTCTTTAGTTATCCTTTAACAAATTAAGGATAAAGTGCCATTCTGTAGATGTATGGTTCATGTAATTGTTTTTTTCATGTTTATCTAGAGAATGACAATCGCAAAACAAATGTAGAGCAGACTTAATGTCTAGGCCTGTAGATGGCATTCAGGGATCACAAAATCCCCTTATGTATTTTTACAAAGAGAAAACTGTTATCTCAGAATGATCTATTTAGATGAGTTCTGGAAATGCTTTCATCTTTAAAGATCACTTTTTCCATACCCTGACATGAAGAAATCCAGAATTAATATACAAATTTAGAGGGGGCATAGAAAAAGGTTTATTTCATTGGCTTTGAACATTTCATATTTGTAATATCCTCTACGATGCTCTTGTGTCATTTTTAGAGTACCGACAGAGAAATTTGAGTTTTTTCTGGCATTGATTTTTGCTACTGAAGAGATCAACAGGAACCCTTATCTTTTACCCAACATATCTTTGCTATTTTCCATCCTTGCTGGCCTGTGTTCTAATACAACAAAAGTAATTGATTTAATATATTCACCACAAGCAAATTTTTCAATAATTCCTAATTATGAGTGTGGAAGTTCTATATGTGATGTATCACTTACAGGACCATCATGGAGTACCTCTATAAAAATGACAACCATTATCACAACTCCAAAGGTGAGACAGAGCGGTACAAATTAGAGATAGCAGCTTGTCTATGCCAATCCCAAGCTTCTACAGAGAATGAATGGGCAACATGAGTTGGTGTGTGCCAATCTATATCTTCTAAAGGATTAAGAAATCACTTTTTGGTATGTCACCAACATTTCTTTGTATTACAAAAATAAATGAATTGGCGGGGGGCAGAAATGCAAAACTTTTGTTGAACATTCAGACTTGTCATAAATATTCTAGAATCCAACTCAACATTGACAGGTTTATCTAGCTGTCTTCTGTAGGAGGTCTGGAAGGTGAGTAATACAACTCATATCTATGAATGAAGTTTCTGCCTATTATATTCCTCACATTGCTTTCTTTGTTTTTTATCCTTCAGATTTTCTTTGGACCATTTCATCCTCTCCTGAGTGATAATGTCCTATTTCCCTATGTCTACCAGATAGCACACAAGGATACATGTTTGCTCAAGGCCATGGTCTCTTTGATGCTTTATTTTACATGGACCTGGGTAGGCCTGGTTGTCTCAGATGATGACCAGGGGATTCAGTTTCTCTCAGACATAAGAGAAGAGATGCAAAGAAATGGAGTCTGCTTAGCTTTTGTGAATGTGATCCCAGATAACATGCAATTGTATACAACAAGGGCTGGAATATATGACAAACAAATCATGGCATCATCAGCAAAGTTTGTTATTATTTATGGTGAAATGAACTCTACCCTAGAAGTCAGCTTCAGAAGGTGGGGCTATTTAGGTGTACAGAGAATCTGGGTCACCACCTCACATTGGGATGTCACCAAAAGTAAGAGAGATTTCAGCCTTGACCCCTTCCAAGGGACTGTCACTTTTGCACAGCACTGTGGTAAAGTTTCCAAATTTAGGCATTTTATGCAAATAGTGAACATTTCCAAATATCCAGTAGACATTTCTCAGATGAGACCAAAGTGGAATTATTTTAACTGTTCAGTCTCTGAGACCAACTTTAGCTCAATGAATTATTATTTATTCAACACTACAGTTGAGTGGTTATCACAACACAAATTTGACATGGTCATGAGTGCAGAAGGTTACAATTTATACAATGCTGTGTACGCTGTTGCCCACACCTACCATGAAATTGTTTATCAACTAGTAGATTCTCAGCCTATAGCTGAACTCAGAGGAATATTCCGTGACTGTCATCAGGTAAATTATCTTACTTTCCATCATTCTTAAGTCATTATATTTCTAAATGGACCCACAAGTGTTCATATGAACTTGTCAGGGACTGTTCTATCAATACAAAGATTTATCAAATCTCCTTAATATGAATATTTTATGTCAAAAAATCGACTTCACAAGATTAACACTCAATGGATGACACTATTTGTATGTGAAGCAGTTATTTTTGTGAGAATGTATCTCAACATTTTAACAAATGTGTTTAATATTGGAAATAGTCACTGAAAATGTTATCATAAAATCCTTAAGTGACAACTAAAAAAGAATTTCTTTCTAGAGACACAAAATATGTATTGATAAATGTCATAAATAATTATTTATATGAAGTATCAATGTTGACAAAAAATAAGGACTGCTTGGTGTTAATAATTTTACTTTTATCTCTTATATGTATAATGTATTTGCCTGATATGCATTCCCTCTATTCCTTTCAAAAACTTCCACTCCTATCACTGCTTAATTACACAACTTGTCTCTTTTTAAAAATAATTTTTGCTATGCACACATACTCAAATTAACCCAAACACACTTAAGTAAAATCATCCCTTTGGACAGTTTCCATGCAAATCACAAATGTTCAGATCTTTTTTACTATGTTATTATTTGATAACATTTCTTCTATTTGCAATTTGAAATTTCATCAAGAACACGCAGCAGACTGCTGCTTTGACTGTTCCTGGTGCCCAGAGCATGAGGTTGCCAATGAGAATGGTATGTGTTTGTGTGCAGAAGACGTTGCTGAAATGGAATATCTTCTCCTTTCAAAAATAGAAAAGTCCTTGAAGGAAATGGAAGACATAAAATATGTGATTTTAATAGAATGATTTCTCTGATATCAACCATATGAACTCTGGGAGGAAATTGAACTGTCTTCCTTAAATAAAACATCTTGCTCACACAATGAAGGTTACACAATCTATTTTTTCCAAAAAAAAATCTTTTTTCAATAAAAATTTTGCAGTCATTTTACACACCAATCAGAGATCCCTCTCTTCCCTCCTTCAGCCACCCCCAACTTAACTCCATTCCATACAACAAGAAGGGAAGGCCTCCCACAGGTAGGCACATCCAGTAGAGGCAAGTCCAAGCCCTTCCCCTGGCTCAAGGCTTCACGAGGTGTCCTATTATAGTTAGTGAGCTCCAAAATGGCCTCTCATGTATCAGATGGATTCTGTCCTTCCTCCAGGGGGCCTCAAAGCAGATCAAGCTACACAACTGTGTCATGATGCAGAGAGCATAGTCCAATCCCATGCAGGCTCCACAGCCATTGATCCCACTTTCATGAGTTTCCACAAGTTTGGTTTGGACATCCCTGCATGTTTCCCCATCATGGTCTTGATGTCACTGCTCATAGAATCCCTATTATCTCTCTTTGACTGGATTCCTGGAGCACTGCCTGGTGCTTGGCTGTGGATCTCTGTATAGGCTTCCATCAGTTACTGGATGAAGACTCTATGATAACAGATTACTAGAGCAGACCAGTTCAAGCACCCTCACCACTATTTCTAGTTGTCCAAGCTGGGGTCATCTTTGTGGATTCCTGGCAACTTCCCTTGTACCCACTTTCTCTCTATCCCCATGACATTTCCCTCTATCATGGTATCTCTTTCATTGCATTCTCTCTCCATCACTTTTCCAGCTTGACCATCCCATTCTCTTATGTTCTCATCCCCCATACCCTATCCTTTATTACCACACCTCACCCCCAGTTCACTCATGGAAATCTCAACTATTCCCCTTTCCTAGGGTGATCCATGCATCCCTCTTTGGGTCTTCCTTGTTAGTTAGCTTCTCTGGAGCTGTGGTATACAGTCTGGTTATCATTTCCTTTACATCTAGTATCCACTTATGAGTGAGAACATACCATGTTTGTCCTGAGTCTGGGTGACCTCACTCAGGATGAGTCTTCAACAATTTCCTTCACATGATTAATATTTTTCATGGTTTTCTTAGGTTTCTTTAAGGGAATTATTGATTTCTTCACATTTTTTGTTTGTGTTTTCCTCAATTTTTAAGGGAATTTTTTATTTGCTCTTTAAAGGCCTCTAGTATCTTCATGAATTATCTTTAAGATTATTTTTATGTGCTTCTGCTACATTGTGATGTTCAGGTCTTGCTGTCATAGAATAGCTAGGTTCTGGTGGTGCCATATTGCTCTTTATGTTGTTATATGTATTTTTGCACTCATGTCTGCCCTTCTCTTCCTCCAACAGGTGCAAGTGGTCCCTGTGTCTAAGTGAGCTGCTATGGTCCACTCTGTGTCTGTCTTAAACTTAGCTCTTGGTCTAATTGGAGCTGACAGATTCTGTATCTCAGGGAGCTGCTCTTGGTCCAATCCAAGCTAGGTGATTCTGTGAATCAGGGAGTCACTCCTGGTTTTATCAGGGCTCTTTGTCCAGTCAGAGCTGACAGATTCTGTGTCTCAGGAAGCCACTCTTGGTCCAAAGAGAGATGGCACTTTGGTTTCTGTGTCTCAGGAAGTTACTTCGGTCACAGGCAGATGGGTATTGGGGTAGGGTGGGGGTCTTGTAAATTGCAAGGTCTAATGGGGGGTTTTGGGGGGGGCATAGAGGAGCTTTCTCTGCTGGACTGCAACTGGGGCAGAGGTGGGTAAGGGTTTCCAGGGCTGGCTGTGTCCAAGGGCCTAGATCCTAGAGGCAGGACTCACTGGTTGGGAGAAGAGTCCCTCACTCCAAAAAATGTTTAATGAAAACCAGAAATATTTTGTAATTTATTCTACAAGAATCCTTTGAACACAGTATTGCTATACATATGTCTAATCTTCCTTCACCATTTGTATGAATTGAATTTAAAACAGAATCAGCCAGCCCACATTATTGTCCACCTGGCACACAGCTTATCACTGATGAGGACCAGAGAGAGTTTCAGACTCTTGTGTTTAATGAAATATATTTAAGACCTTGAGGAATAGCTTACAGAGCAAAGCAATTACTGTGGAATGATTGGGATGAGTATTCAGTTCCCAAGAATACACCCCAAGATGTGATAGTATTCTTCAGCAATCACATCCTACCAAGAGATAAGAAAAGTTTTCAGAATAGCCATAATCTTGCATCTCATCTAAGTTGGAAAGTGCAGTTGGGAACAAAAAGAGACTTTTTAAAAGAGAGGGAACTGAGCCGGGCGGTGGTGGCGCACGCCTTTAATCCCAGCACTCGGGAGGCAGAGCCAGGCGGATCTTTGTGAGTTCGAGGCCAGCGTGGACTACCAAGTGAGTTCCAGGAAAGGCGCAAAGCTACACAGAGAAACCCTGTCTCGAAAAACCAAAAAAAAAAAAAAAAAAAAAAAGAGAGGGAACTGAAGAAAAACACCTGATGATTGTCTTCTGAACTGCAAATACATGCACAGATGCATGTGTGCTTACACTAACATGCAAACATCACTTACAAAATCACATGTGCACATTTATGCATACCATGTAAACATAAGCATATATTTAATTTAAATCTTTTTTAGTTTAAAATTAATTATGTCCCTTTCATTTCTCCTTTCATTACTAACATTAGCCTCACTTGAAACACAGTGACATGTCTACTCAATTCTCAAGTCAATAGCAAAAAGACTAGGAAGGTAGATTAAATCCAAATACACTATATGTATGGATGAATTTTAAATACAATGTTAAAAATATCTAAATTTTTATGTTGTAACATATTCAAAATTCTTGAGTTGTTTGGATTTTTTTCTAATACATAGATGAATAGTGGCAAGAACCAAAGTAAATGTGAAATTATAGATATCCACATACCAGACATCATTGGAATACAACATAGTAGAAAAAGTACATGTCCTTTTGTCCAAATATTTATATTAAATGATGTTATGAACTTAAAACTAAGGGCATTTTGGTGCATGAGAGCACAGCTTTCTTTAATGGAAATATTGATTTATGCAAACAGTGTGTACCTGAGAGAATTGTCAATCATTGACTCTGTATGAAGATACAGACCAATGGCACGAGCAAAACGCACATACATAGCATTGTATCCCCTGCCTTTGTTGTCTGGGCATGCTGTCTTAGTCAGTGTTCTATTGCTATGAAGAGGCACCATGAGCATGAACATTATTTTTTGAGAAAAGCATTTAATTGTGGCTCACTGACACTATCAGAGGTTCAGTCTATTGTTGTAATTACAAGGAGCCCGGCCGCACACAGGTAGATATGGTTCTGGAGAAGTGGCTGAGTGTTCTCTTTCCAGATTCTCAGGCAGAAGGAAGAGAGAGACACTGGGGCTACTTGTGTTTACTCAGAAACCAAAACCCATCGTCAATGACACACTTCCTCCAAAAATGTGACAGGTACTCCCACAAGAATAAATCACTTAATCCTTTTCAATCATGCCTCTCCCTGGAGAACAAGCATAATAATCTAGGAGGCTGTGGGGGTCATTTTCGCTCAAAATCCTATATAATGGTCTCTGGTCCCCCCAGGCTCATAGGCACATCATAATTCAAAATGCATTTCGTCCAAAGTCAAAAGTCCAGAAGGGCAAACTCCAAATTCTGCATCTCCGTGTCTATTTTCCAGCACTCTTCAGATCTCCAATACCTTTCTGTTTTGTTGATTGTAACAAACTACTCTCTCTTTGGCTGGTTCATCACCCTGTCTGCAAGTATCTTGGCAGGTGCTCCATGACTCTGCCATGTCTAACATTTTGGGATCTCCAATGAAATCTGTGCTTCACCTTCCCTGCTTTTCTCAAAGGTACCTTTTGGCCTCCATGTAGGGACACCTTGGACAAATACCTGTCCAAGTGACCTTACTTAGCTATAGATGGAGGTTCCATACCTGCCTTCTTCTATCCTTTGCTCAAAGCCAGAACCATGTGACCAAATCTTCCAATGTTTTCTGCGTATTAGGATGTTCAAATACAGTTTTACCCGATTTTTATTTTTAATGATTTCTTTCACCAAAACCTAATGTATTTATTTCACAAGTCGGAAGCTTAGCTCAGTGCATTCTTACCTTGTTGTCATTTCCTTTATTCCATTTTGCAACAGGCTTTCTTTGAAATATTTTATCTCTTTAAGCTCTGGAATTACCTGCATTACACTTCCTGGGGCTCCTTTTCTTCTCAAACCATTTATTTAGTATTTTCCATGCTCACCTAGCTCCTTTTCACTATGGATTTGATTAAGAGTGACAATTAATAACCACATAAGGAAGTGAATGTTGCTCAAGTTTTCCTGGTCTTGCCTGGCCCATGGTCAGGATAAATGTCTATCACTCGCCAGTCCCACAGCCAAGTAAACACATAGAGACTTATATTACTTATAAACTGTTTGGCTGTGGCAGGCTCCTTGTTATCCAGTTCTTATATCTTCAATTAACCCATTTATGTTAATCTATTTGTTGCCACATGTTCTATGGCTTTACTTGTTGCCTTTACATGTTGCTTCCTGGATGGCAGGATGTCATCTCCTGACTCAGCCTTCCTCTTCCCACAATTCTCTTCTCTGCTTGTCCCACCTATCCTATACTTTCTGCCTGGCTACTGGCCAATCAGTGTTTTATTTATCAATCAATCAGAGCAACACATTCACAGCATCCCCAGCAAGACAACACTAGACTGTCTTAAAATTTCCTCAGTTTTCCTAATTCAAAACTCTTCAGTTTGGCCTCAGATATATTTTTGGACCAGAACAAATAGGAACCACACTCTTAGTCAAAATATTAAAGGAACAGTCTCTGAGCAATTTTACTAATTTTTGTGCCTATGAAGCTGCTTGAGTTTCAGAGGTTCCCATTGTTCAAATATCCCTCAGGACTGCTTTCCATGATCCCAATAGCATGACCCATGAAGCCTTACTTAAAACATTCAACTGCTTTCCTAATCCCTAGTTCCAAAGACCACATTTTGGCAACTAGAAGCTTGTCTGGGCCTGTCACAGTAATATTTCACTCCTCCCTATTATTTTTGTCTTCGTGTGTGTTATATTACAGTGAAGAGACACCATAACCATGACAAGACTTACGAATAAAGCATTTAATTGGGGCTTGCTTACAGTTTTAATCTATTGTCATAATGACAGGGAATATGTCAGAACAGAGAGAGACACAGTTCTGGAGAAGATGAGTATTCTACATACAGATTCTCAGGAACATGAAGAGAGAGGCACGGAGGTATGCTTGAGCTTTTGAAAAAATGAAAGCCCATCTTCAGTGACACATTTCTCTCAACAAGGTCAAACCTACTACAATAAGAACACATATTTTAATCTTTTCAAATAGGTCCATTCCCTAGTGACCAAGCAATCACATCTCTGAGCATATAGAAGCCTCTCTCACTTTATCCACCACACATTCACAGTACAAAGATGTGTAGATAATAAGTATAATGTTTGAGAATTTAACCAATCTGATCTGTTTTTATTACCACTTATAAGCCCTAAGAAAATTAGTATTTTTCTTATTTTAAAAACTTGCATAAATATGGAAGTTGATAAATGGGAATAACAAGTTACTCTGTTCCCTTTATGGTAAAGGTGGTGATTTCCATCACCAAGGATGGATTGCTACAGAGCAGCCTGACCTCGCTGTTCCCTATATCAACCAGGAAAAAATTATCAATGAAGACAAAAACAGTTATTGAGGTGTCCTCTGATTAATACAGACACTAAAAGATTAAGACTATAATGATGGAATTTTTAATTTCCTTCTGCAGATATGGAGCAGTGTGTTCACTGTCCGGAGGATCAGTATCCCAACCCAGAGCGCACATGCTGCCTGCAAAGACATGTCTCATTTCTAGCTTATGAAGACCCATTGGGGATGACTCTGGCCTGCATGTCCCTGTGCTTCTCTGCCCTCACAGCTCTTGTTCTTGGTGCTTTTGTGAAGTATAATAACACTCCCATAGTGAAGGCCAATAACTGCATTCTCAGCTACATCCTACTGATCTCCATCACAATCTGTTTCCTCTGTTCATTGCTCTTCATTGGGCATCCCCACATAGTCACCTGCATCCTTCAGCAGACTACATTTGGAGTCTTTTTCACAGTGGCTGTGTCTACAGTCTTGGCCAAGACTATTACAGTTGTCTTGGCCTTCAAGCTCACGACTCCAGGAAAAAGAATGAGAGGGATACTGGTATCAGGGGCACCTAAATTTGTCATTCCCATCTGTACCTTGATCCAACTCATGCTCTGTGGAATCTGGCTGGTCACAGCCCCTCCCTTTATTGACACAGATACACACTCTGACCATGGACAGATCATCATTGTATGCAGCAAAGGCTCAGCTATTGCATTCCATTTTGTGTTGGGATACTTGGGCTCCTTGGCTCTGGGGAGCTTCACTGTGGCTTTCCTGGCCCGGAATCTTCCTGACAGATTCAATGAAGCTAAATTCCTGACCTTCAGCATGCTGGTATTCTGCAGTGTGTGGGTCACCTTCCTCCCTGTCTACCACAGCACCAAGGGGAAGGTCATGGTGGCTGTGGAGGTCCTCTCCATCTTGGCCTCCAGTGCAGGGTTGTTAGGGTGCATCTTTGTCCCAAAATGTTATGTTATTTTCATGAGACCAGATTTAAATTCTCTTCAAAAGTTCAGGGATAAATCACTTTACTGACCCATTCCTAGTTTTAAGATTTTTAGATGACACTTAAAATATCTCTGTTCCATTTCCTTGGAGTGACTCCCTCTTCCATTCTCAGCTTTCATCATTTTCCCATCCAGTTTATCAAGTTTCATAATGTCATCCTTATTGAACACATTTTGGTGGTAATGTGGGTAAGACTTTACTATATACATTCTACTCTTTATAGTACACATATTCTCACAGTAATCTCCCTCATCTTAAGACTCTCAAGATCTTTCCTTCCTTTTTCAATGTTCCTTGGGCCTTAGGTTGGGAAGGTTTTGTAGAAGGATTGATTGTTTTATTCTAAATGTATATGTTGAATGGGAGGAATCATTCATAAATAAACCCTGTTAGTCTTTATTCCCAACTATTTTTCTATGTGGTATCCTGAAGAGTACTTTCTAGCAACTTGTATGATAGTAAGGGAAAGGCTTCTACTTGGGCACCAGAAAGACTTTTTCATATTTGATGACAGAAGTAAGTGTTGTCCGCTGGAATATCACCTCAGCAGCTGGTACTATAGAGAAATCCTAACCCACAAGCCTCAGGGATCTATATGGGAAAAGATGTGGAAATATTTAAAGAGGCAGAGGTAGTGGACGTCTTCATGGAAGCATTATCACCTAGAAATCAACAGGACTAGACAATCACATGAAATTACAACAGTGTTGGAAACATACATAAGGTCTGCAGTGGTACCAGCCAAAAAAATATCACAGTACTAACAAGTAGACATGGACTCAAATCCAATACATAAACAAGAAATAGTGTGCAGTTCTTGCCTTTTGCAAAAGAGACAGCATTTTCTAGAATGGTGTTTCAATGGTTATTTCAATGACACTCCTGGGTCATGCATTTTGTTGTAGCTGGACACACAAGATATATTTCGTGGGTTTTTATTTTCTGTGTTCTGGGCAGGGGGCTTCTTTTTATTCTTTTTCTTCGGGCATTGGTTTATTTTATTTTATTTTTTTGCTTATTTGTTATGATTTCCATTTGTGCTTTTTTTGTTTAAGAGAGATAAGAAAAAACATAAAATTGGATTCAAAGATATGTGTGTAGGATTGGGGAGCCATTTATAGAGAGGAAAATATGATAAAAATATAGTATTTGGGGGAAAGTAAAATATGAAATACATGTATGAAATAACTAATTGAGTATGTGTTTACATATAAATGTTAAATGAATTGCACTTTTGGGATGATAGCAATTCCCTTAGATACACAAACCGTCTTACAAGAATCTCAATATCAGGCACGAGAAACCTTTCTCTAGGTCATTTTTCAGGGGAATCCAAAATAACCTCACAACCATATAAGCTGGGGACACTCATCTTGTTGCTTCCCAGAAATTGAAAATATGCCCTATTAATGAAGACACCACACACTTCTGATACAGATATGCAAGTATTGACATGGAATTGACTGGGAAGCCTCCTGCCTGAGGACCAGGTTTCAGAGTATTTGAAGCTGCTAAAAACTGCCAGGGAAGAAACACAATTATTATTTTTTAGCTAAGAATTTTCCCATTCATTTTACACACCAAAGGTCCCCCTCTTCCATTTTCCTACCCCCAGCCTCTCCCTCCCAACACCCCTTACTCCTACCCACAAGAAGGCAAGGCCTCCCATGGGGAGGCACATTCAGTAGAGGCAAGTTTAAGCCCTTCTCCCTGCCTCAAGGCTGCACAAGGTGTCCCACCATAGGTAGTGTGCTCAAAAAATCCCACTCGTGCACCAGGGAAGGATTCTTATCCTTCCACCAGGGGGCCATCCAAACCTGTATCAGTGGTTAAGAGCACTGACTTCTCTTCTAGATGTCCTGAGATCTATTTCCAGCAACCACAGTGGGGTTCAAAACCATCTATAATGAGAGCTGGTGCCCTCTGCCGGTGTGCAGGCAAAAAAGGTGTACATAATAAATAAATAAGTAATAAATGAATAAATAAATAAATGTTTAAAAGAATAGAAATAAATGTAATTATAATTTTCAGCAGTAAAGCTTATAACCACCATAAAGACTATCACAGCAAGATATATTCAAAGATGTGATTGTGGGAAAGTTATATTTGGGGTAACCAACACCTGTTGAGTCATCTTTAATTCATCCCTCAACAGAAGGGAATTTATGTTTGTTACTGTAAACCTAGCCAAGTGCCTATGATTAGTTATGTCTTAGACTCTAAGGGAGAACCAATGATTCCTATTTCCTGAATCAGTATAATTCTGGAAACTTATTCTTCTAAGCCTGGATAAGCATAGTCCTGGCCACTCATGATAAAGCTTCTTCTCCAATACACTGAATCCAAAGCAGAAACACCCAACTTATCAATAGGTGAGGAACTAGGACACCCAACACAATTTTAAACATACATACACACACACACACACACACACACACACACACACACACACACACACACACACACGAAACATTTTGGAAAGGGGCAGAAAGACCAGTAAGACCAGGAAGACTAGGGTGTCTGCTGAGGAGTGTTTTTTCTATGGCAATGAAGCTGAACCTATGATATCTTAACAAGTTTGTTATCTAAATACAGCCTGCACAGTGAAAAGTAGACCTGTCAAAGAGATGAGAGAATTCTGACATGTCCATACCTCTACAGGGAGAACTACAGGCAATCAATGGTACTGAGAGATGGTGATTCCATCCTCTCTACAGATGAGCTCAAACTAGAAACAGTAACTGTACTCATGAGATGTTTGTATCTCTTTCTGTGTTGGTGTGCACATCTCTATCTCTCCAGGTATATAAAAATAATGTTAAAGAGCGCTTTTGAATTTTAGATGGAGGGTAGGGACATGAGATGGGGTAGAGGGAGAGGATGTGGTGGAAATGATGTAAATATAGTTCTTCTGCATGAAATCCTCATCAAGTAAAAATTTTAAAAAATCATATTCCACAAAATATATTGTATAAAATGTCCAATGTAATAAAAATTGTGAATTTCTAAAAGGTGCTCAACCATCAAGGAAATGCAAATTAAAATTCTGTTAAGACACCATGTCACACAGGACCCCCCTGAACTGATTGATGGATTCTTTGAGTGTCCTAGTTCCCAATCAGACAGTCCTTCTCTCTAGATCCTAGGCCATGGGGGCACATTCCATGCCCCTTCCCAACCCACCACAGCCTCAGAGACTGGGCCACAGCATGTTACCCATGCCACCATACTCCACCATATCAGTGACGAGTGAGGCCCCAGGCACCATCTGCACAGACAGGTGGAAGAGTAACAACTTGAACCAAAGGCCTCAAATACTCCAATTGTTGGAAGAGTGACCATCAGAAACAAAGGTCCCACCTGCACCAATTGGTGGAAGAACAACCACTGGAAACAGAGACTCCACATGCACTGAATGGTGGAAAAATGACCACAGGAGCCACAGGACCCACCTGCTCCAAATGGAGGAAGAGCCCTGGGAAATGTGAAGCAGAATCTCCTGAGGCCTCAGAAACCCCAGGAGTTCCAGGCCTCACCTGTAATAGTTGGAGGATGAGATGGGTAGAGCATAGTATAAGAATACACTCAACAACAGAAGGAGCAACATGGCACCACCAGAAATGAGCAGTTCTACAACAGCAAAACCTGGACATCCCAATGTAAATGAAACAGAAGAAAACAACCTTAAAATAACTTTATGAAGATGATAGGGGCCCTTAAAGGGCAAATGAAAAATTCCCTTAAAAGAACTGAGCAAAATACATAGAAAAATGGAAGAAATCAATAAATCCCTTAAATATCAAGGAAAAAAAAACAATCAAACACAAAAGGAAAACAGTTCTAGACGTGAAAATTGAACTAGAAGCAATAAAGAAGACATAAACTGAAGGAAGGCTGGAAATGAGTAAACAAGCAAGGACTATAGAAGCAAGTGTTACCAAAAGAATATAAGAGACAGAAGAGATATTCTTGGGCATTGAAGATACAATAAAAGAAATCATCAAAGAAAATTTTAAATTCAACAAATACTTAACACAAAATGTCCACAAATAAAATATCACACTTTCCCTTTTTTTGTCTAAATAAATAAAAATAATAATAATTCCCAGAGCTCAGCCTGGCACCAGGACGTGGATCTCTACATCTGCTTCCATCAGTCACTGGATGAAGGCTCTATGATGACAGTTAGGGTATTCACTAATCCGGTCACCAGAGTGAACCAGTCCAGGCACCCTCTTGACCATTGCCAATAGTCCAAGGTGGAGTCATCCTTGTGGATTCCTGAAAACTTCCCCAGTGCCCTGGCTCTTCCTATTCCCATGGTATCTTCATTTATCATGGTATCTCTTTCAGGGAATCCAATCAATGAGAGAGAGGAGGGATTCTGTGGGAAAGGGACATTGAGACCAAGATGGGAAAACATACAGAAATGACTAGACACATTAGTGGAAACGCATGAACTGTGGACCAATAGCTAAGGAGCCTCCCTGGAACTGGACTTGGCCCTCTAGATAGGCAAGAAAGTTGTTTAGCTTGAACTGTTTATGGGGCCCCAGACAGTGGGATTGGGATCCATCCCTGGTACATGAGCTGGCATTTTGAAGTGCAGAGTCTATGGCGGGACACTTTGTGCAACCTTGGAGCAGGGATGAGGGTCTTAGACCTGCCTCATGAATGCACCAGGCTCTGCTCACTCCCCATATGAGACATTGCCTTGGAGGAGGTGGGAATCAGGGGAAGTTTGGGGAGGAAGACTGGGAGCAGGGAGGATGGAGGAGAGGAGGATCTGTGGTTGGTATGCAAAATGAATTTAAAAAATTTAATAAAATAAAAACAGGAAAAAATTAAAATTAATAAAGATCCTGTGTTTTATTTGGCAACCCACGGCCCCCCAGCTCCGCAAAAAACTACTAACTGCTCCAACTGTTGCCTGCCTATCCCCAGCCTCTGATAATGCCACAGAGCACACACAATGAAGGAAGCAGTCTGCTCTACCCAGAACCAGTCATCATCCCAGGCTTTTGGAT